CCTCAGACTCAGTAAAGTTCAACATTGGGATCTTTTTCAACATCTGTTTTTGCGGAAACTTTACATCTGGATTTTTTAGAAGCATCTGATTTTGCCCAATTTTAGTAAAATATGCTCCAAATTTTGCTAAAAAAGCAAGGTTAACCCCTTACCATTTAAGATTTTTCATACAAATCTGATTTTGCAAAATTTTACTAAATATACAAGGTACACCTCTTACAATTTAAAATTTTTCATAAACATTTCTTTTTGCCCAATTTTGCTAGAAAAATACAAGGTTAAGCCCTAACAATCTGCAATTTTACAGAATCATCTGATTGTGTCCTATTATGCTAAAAAAAAAGCAAGGTTAACCCCTTACAATTTGAATTGTTTTCATGAACATCTAATTTTTCCCAATCTTATTCAAAAAGCAAGGTTAACCCCTTACAATCTGCAATTTTCCAGAAACATCAGATTTTTTTCCCAATTTCGCTGAAAAGCTAGAAATCCACGTTAAATTCCATTAGGATTGTATTTGTCGCGATTAAAACCCTGTATTGTACTGTCATAATAGCTTGATTGTTTGACCTTTTCTTATGAAATTAGATCTGTTCATGTTAAACATCATGACAAATGAGCGCACGAAAATTCATTTTTATGTAACGTGTATTTCTTGAGTTGTTGCCCCAAAACGAGGCCAGTTGTTCTGTATTTTAAAATTGAATATTCAGTGATTTGTCATGATGACTGTGTAATTACATTATGAGATTGAATTTCATGAGAAACCATCAAACAATGAAAAAGAGCATACCCGAAACAAATATAGTATTTTAAACCTGAAAAAATACAAACCAAATAAAAAACGAAAAGTTGCAAGGTCCATGGAAAAATAATAATACCGTTGTTTGAGCAATAACCGGAGATCGCCAGGTCAAGCTATATATTAAGTTGTAAGTTCATCAAGAGATCAGTCTTGATGTCTTACATGAGGAGATTAAATTTCGTGAGAAACCGTCAAACAACTAAAAAACATCTTTCGAGAAAGGGCCGGCGCGCTGAATAAAACTAGTGGTCTCGCACCCGCGCCAAGACACTATATCCGCACGCCGTAGAATATTCTAAGTTTCGTTCAATAGAGGGCGCGCCACATAAATAGTGGTCTCAACAACGCATCAACACGGATGCTGGAAAATTGAACAAAAAGAACAAACTCGTTTCCGATGAACTACTCAAGAAATACGAAATGGATTCAATTGAAATTTCGTACAATTAGTTTTCACGATGTGTAGCAGAAGCAGTTTGAATGGCGTGAGAAACTGTGGAGCTATAAATATAATATGATCGTAACAATCTAGTGTTTGGAAAGCTAGAAATCCACGTTGACTTCCATAAGTTGTATTTGTCGCGATTAAAACCCTGTATTGTTACGGTCATAATAGCTTGATTGTTTGACCTTTTCCTATGAAATTAAATCTGTTCATGTTAAACATCATGACAAATGAGTGCACGAAAATTCATTTTTATGTAACGTGTATTTTTTTAATTGTTGCCCCAAAACGAGGCCGGTTGTTCTGTATTTTAAAATTGAATATTCAGTGATTTGTCATGATGACTGTGTAATTACATTATGAGATTGAATTTCATGAGAAACCATCAAACAATGAAAAAGAGCATACCCGAAACAAATATAGTATTTTAAACCTGAAAAATACAAACCAGATGAAAAACGAAAAGTCAAGGTACATGGAATAATAATAATACACTCGTTGTTTGAGCAATAACCGGAGCTCGCCAGGTCAGGCTATATTAAGTTGTAAGTTCAGCAAGTGATCGGTCTTGATGTCTTACATGAGGAGATTAAATTTCGTGAGAAACCGTCAAACAACTAAAAATCATCTTACGAGAAAGGGCGCAGCGCGCTGAATAAAACCAGTGGTCTCGCACCGCCAAGACAACAATCCGCACGCCGCAGAATATTTTAAGTTTCGTTCAATAGAGGGCGTTATGAACAAACTCGTTTCCGATGAGCTACTCAAGAAATACGAAATGGATTCAATTGAAATTTCGTACAATTAGTTTTCACGATGTGTAGCAGAAGTAGTTTGAATGGTGTGAGAAACTGTGGAGCTATACTATATAATATGATCGTAACAATCTAGTGTTTGAAAAGCTAGAAATCCACGTTGACTTCCAACGTGTGTAAAGGCAAATAACATCTATTTGAAAAAAAAATCAGTTAGGAATTTTAGCGAAGTTCACGAGTAATTAGCAAGGAAAACAAAAATCTCTGCTTCAGTCAATTTCAAGTTGACAGGTGTAGCGTGAATTTCCGACTCCATGAAATGTGGACTCATTGGTAGTACTGCGCACGCGTGAGTACAATACTATGCTATTTTTAGGATCGTTTCGGGAGAGTGACCTGTCAACAGCGAGGGATCAACCAATAATAGGGAAATAGGGGTCCGATTTTCATAGGAGTCGGATTTTCATGTGACACCGGCACGAGTGAGTCAACGCTTGCGCTGCGCGCGCGAACCAAACCCTAGATAAAACTGTATCACAAGAGGGCGGGTTAAAAATTCCATAACACATAAACAATGAGCTGTGTGGAGAGTGCTCGGATCGGCCCAACCCATCATCACCGGCACCCGGTATGCTTTGAAAAGAAGTTTGATGTTGGAATTTATCCGGCATTTATGTCGCTTGAGGTATTATTATGTTATGTTTGGGTTGATTTTGAGGACAACATGTCTCTGGGAAATACCCACAATGTGGAAAAACAAAATTCAGATAACTTACGTCCTCAGAATTTCACTCGCCATCATGCCATTAATATTATAAGATAGTGGATATTTTGCCGGAGGTAATGACGGCAAACACGTTTACTAAAGGTTTGCCGGCGGCAATCCATATCTACAGAGGGCGATGTACTCTTTAAGATAGGGTAGCCCCACTAGTGTGGCCGTCGGTTAGCCCCACTAGTGTGGCCGTCGGTTAGCCCCATAATGTGGCCAGTTTACTGGACTGCCTCCGTAAACATAGGCCACACAGCCACCATCTTGGAAACTGACTCGACGAAATTTAAAAAAAAAAAGTTGGTGATTTCCACATTGCGACTTCAAACCCAGTTCATTTATGCTTTAAAAATACACTTACCCTCTTAATAACAAAATTAGAACCTGCTGCCAGTGTCAGTTGCCCAGCTGCTGCGTAATTTACGACATTTTCTGGACCATTCTTGGCAACTTGGTCCAACCGTGGAGCTATCTCCATGGTCCAACTGAACAATGCCCTTGCGCAGATCGTTCACCTGTCAATCACGCGTGCAGGACGCACGCCGCAGGCCCAGTGGTAGTCCGGTTCCCAGACCAAAAGATTCTGACTATTCCATCCTAGGAATAGTCAGAATCTTTTGGTCTGGGAACCGGACTACCACTGGGCCTGCGGCGTGCGTCCTGCACGCGTGATTGACAGGTGAACGATCTGCGCAAGGGCATTGTTCAGTTGGACCATGGAGATAGCTCCACGGTTGGACCAAGTTGCCAAGAATGGTCCAGAAAATGTCGTAAATTACGCAGCAGCTGGGCAACTGACACTGGCAGCAGGTTCTAATTTTGTTATTAAGAGGGTAAGTGTATTTTTAAAGCATAAATGAACTGGGTTTGAAGTCGCAATGTGGAAATCACCAAATTTTTTTTTTTAAATTTCGTCGAGTCAGTTTCCAAGATGGTGGCTGTGTGGCCTATGTTTACGGAGGCAGTCCAGTAAACTGGCCACATTATGGGGCTAGCCGTCGGTATGCTGCGCTGAACCTGCGCAGCATACCGACGGCCAGTAGTGGGGCTAAAGATAGGGCTGAATTATAAGATGTATTAAATTCCCACCAAAAGTTGTGTAGCACGTTTGGTGTAGTAGTTTTAGTAAGCGGGATGACTCGAGTTCGATTCCGACCGCAGCACATTTTTAAGGTTTTTTTTTCTCATCCCCAAATAAATAAGACTATTCTTCTTTTATTATTTTAACATGTCTCAAACATTTTTTGCAGAGTACTATTACATTTTCTTTTTCAGATTTGTGGCTCTGGAGGATTTTTTTTAACAGGAAAATAAAGTCCGAAATTATAAAATGGTCTGAATCCCATCTTGTGAATACGAGGTTACAACGATAATTTTGGCATGGAGCCAGACTAAAATTTGTCACCGGAAAATGTTTAAGTACAAAAAAACAGTAACTGCGCATGTTCAGTGCATATCCGGCAAACTAACGTTTACTAAAGGTTTGCCGTCTCCGGCAAAATATACACTGCCTTATTATAAACCTGGTGATGCATTGTTCATTCAATTCAATCATTGTGTTGAGTCATGGTCATTCATGCACTCAGTTTATGACGCACTGTACTTCAATTCAATTCAATTCAATTCAATTCAATTCACTTTATTTTCCACATAAAAAAAGACAATCAGAGTTAATGTATACAAAATATGTGGATGGGGATCCCTAAAAAGCAATGCTTGTCGAGTAGAGATCCCCAGTTACAATCATACTTCCTGAACTGTAAAAACCTTACAGTTCTGAAAGTAGCTGTACAGAGGCAACAGTGGCGTTAGCCCAATAAATGTGGCCAATTAAATACTGGACTACCTCCATAAATAAAGGCCACACTTCCACCATGTACAAAAACATGTCGAACTTTGTCAAATTTTGATTTTCACATTGAGGCTTAGTTTGTAGGGTTTTTTTTGCTTTAGAAGCATACTCACCCCCTTTATTATAGGCTAATCAGGAAGTGCTGCCGTTTTCAGATGTCTACTCTATACTTGTCTATACTTGTAACTCGCCTGTGCATGACGTCGGTGAAGGGCAAAAAAACCTAATTTGATTAACAAGACTATCAACCGAATGGTTCTCAGATTTTAGTTTCCTTAAAAAAAAAATCCTCCAAAGCCACGGATCACTCATCATCATCATCCTTCGGCTGCGGAGCAGTCGACTACAAGCTTCTTCCATTTACTGCGATCATGGGCAAGTGTTGCCATTTGGTCTGGTCGCAGCATGCCATCACTATCTCCAAGCAAGCATTGAATATTATTATAAGTTAGATATAAGAGATTGTCCACCTGACGGATCACTAAGAAAGTAAGGAAAAAAAAGACAAGAAATAAACAATTTTCCCTCACACTTCATCACCATCTTTACACATAACATGAAATATAGACCAATGGGTTGCGGACCAATGGGTTGCGGACCAATGGATTGCGGACCAATGGGTTGCGGACCAATGGGTTGCGGACCAATGGGTTGCGGACCAATGGGTTGCGGACCAATGGGTTGCGGACCAATGGATTGCGGACCAATGGGTTGCGGACCAATGGGTTGCGGACCACTGGGTTGCGGACCAATGGGTTGCGGACCAATCAGACCAATGGGACGTCGGACTATAGAGAAGACCCGGAAATAAAAATAAAATTGACTTTCCAATGTCATTTTGAAAGTAAAATACTGAGAAAAAGGTCTTTAAAGTTTCGAATTTTGTAGTCGTAAAAATTAAATACGCCAATTGTTTTTCCTGAAAAATCTTCTATTCCACAAATGTTTATACTCTTTCTTTAAAATATGTGTTTTAGACATATGAGAGGTTATAAGTGTCAATAAACCTTAAAATTGCAACAAAAATTTGTCGTGTCCGTGCAACAAGTTCGTACGGTATCTCCTGAAATGAGCCATACGTGATACGCGAGTTTCAGAATGTCAAAAGGTCGTATAGGTTTCATTTAAAATAACCTGGATGTACACACAAAGTCAATGGACGTCGAGATATGACCTTGTTGCACGGAGCGTATTCGTGCGAGATAAAACTGTTGCAGAATGGAGTTACGACTTTGTTGCACTTACACGACGAATTACCCCCATTCCGAATTTTTTTTTTTTACAATTTCCTCCACTAGGGCATGTGCCCAGTTTTATCTCATTTTGCCAGAACGCCTCATGGGTCCATCACTGAGCAATCACTTGATGTCATGTCGGTACATGTAGTCAGGTCATAGGACATGATCAAGAATGACAAAAGCAAGAGTTGAATCTTGATGCCTTGTGGTCAACTTATCATTGATGTGGTGAATTGTGAGGCAGAACAAACTTTCTTCATTTATACTTTGCACAGCCCAAGAACATGATCTGCGGTTGACAAACGGCTCGACCAGCATGGAAGGACGACTGGAAATCTTCTTCCAGGGCGAATGGGGAACAGTCTGCGGTGAAGATTCTTTAAAGATAGAGGAAGCGTCTGTGGTGTGCCGTCAGCTTGGCTTCATCTATGCAGTGGAAGTCAAGTCCTTTGGGCCTGGTTCAGGAGCGATAGTCATTGATGACTTGAATTGTAATGGCAATGAGGCCAGCATACTGGACTGTTATCATGATAAGCTGGGCAAGTCCAATTGTGGGCATGGTTACGACGTTGGGCTCGTCTGCAGCAATGTTCTTACTACAGAGGTACCAATAACTTATGCTCCTGGTAAGTTCACAAAAAAATCTGCGTATCTGAATTGAGTAGAGGAGGTGGTTAATTAAGATCTAGTTCATTTGAGGCTTGAATTGTTTGCTTTTGTACTATTTGGTGTACCTGTATATCCGACAGTGCAACTGCAATGGATTCATATACAGTAAAGATGCTGTTGGTCACGCTAAGACATATCCTACTTCCATACCCGTAGTGCATCATTGGAAAAGGGAACAAGACTTTATTCATTTAGCGCTAGGTGACATTCCACCGGGTTGGGACACAGTGCGTGTTACATCCAAATATTTGGTTAGTAAAAGTATCAGTGCGTTCTAAACAATTGCTCAACATAATATTTGTGTTAGGGTGTTTAAATACTTAGCGAAAGTTTGAAATCATTAACAAAAAATATGAGCAAAAATGTATTAATTCAGACATACCTTGTCAATGTTACATCCAAATATTCTTTTTTTCTGTAAAATATTACCCAAACTGACATAGCATATTTATTGCTGGACACCTAATGCACAATGAAAAGCTTTTGTTTTGGTATGGTCAGGGTTCAGATATAGCAGAAACGATACCTTAATGTGGACGTAATGGTGTCAAAATCACTCGATATAAGTGTGACATTTGGGGTTGACACGGTGTCAATGTTACGTCCACAACCAATCTTTCATTTTGGCTCCATTTGATACCTGACTACCATAACGAAAGCTTTTCTTAATGTGTTGCATGTACATGTATACAGGTAGTATTAAATTAAATCCTATCCCTCTGTTGTTGTTGGTAGATGTTGAAGCAATTCTAAACAATGGCAAATTCCGACTGGTCGATGGACCTGATCCCTACCAAGGCCGTGTGGAGGTATTCCTCTACAATGCCCGAGCTTGGATGCCTATCTGCAACGTGGACTGGGACTTCACCAGAGCTTTGTTTGTTTGTAAGAAGCTGGGCTTCCGACCCGCTACATTAGCTGGGACAGGCAGCTACGGGGCCGGGGCTGGACAGATAGCCAACTGCTCGGCTGCAGCATTCAATTATCGTGGTTCAGTTGATTCGAATTGGGACAGCTGTCAAATAGTCAATGCAAGTGATGCAGTTGGTGAATGCTCTCACGACATGGCAGTAGACGTGATCTGCAGTGGTACAGAGCCAGGTACGTAAGCCATTTCTTGTAAGGTCATCTCGCAGTGTTAAAATGGCGAAATAAGAAGTGTTGAAACAACTATGGCCAGTGGCGAATCGATGGCTGAGTAGCAAAGCTCAGTGGAAGAGAGCTCTTGCAATTATCTTTGTCATCTCAAGTTTGACTAGGGTGCACCAGAAACCTATATTTTGCAATGCGCGCAATGAACGCAGTGTGATGCTTTTTTACAGACGGGCCATGTGGCCTTTCTCGGCCAATGAAATGACAGTATCCAAGCACACGATATAACAAAATTCTTAAGTTAAAAGTTGCAAACATGTGAAGTGGCACACAAAGGGCATCCATGTGAGTGCATATATGCAGAAAGTGGGCATACATACATTTTTGTCATTCACCAACCTAGCAGAAGTGAAACGCATATGAAAAACAATGTTTCATATTGCATTTCACCCATTACACATCCGGTGTGTGAATCGATCCTCAGTTACCTGATCAGTAAAATGAAGGATGCATTTTGAATTCTTGGTTTTGCCATCACTAACATACGTGTAATTTCAGTAACAAGGTATACTCCATGTTCTCTGAGGGCTTGTTAGAAAAACCTCACCAAGCTTACTCACCATTGCCTGCTTACAAAAGCAGACATCTTCCCAATCGGCCAACGAGCTTGCCGGTTGGGGCTGGCTCGTTCCAATCTTAAATAACACTACCAATATCTATTTTGTATGGTTGAATTCTGCTGTGATGTTTTCCAGTGGCGTACATTCTAAATCTTACAATTGCCTGGCTGTGAATTTCGAAGGGGGCCTTGTTTATGATGCCAATAAGCATCAATGCAAACTTCAGAGCTTACACTAAACCTTACATCAAAATGGTTTATGAAAGCTGCTCTACTGTTTGTTCTCCATTTTTCAGTGCAATTTAATACCTTTTCGCTGTTTGCAAGTAAGAAAATGACCTGTAAATCATCATTTTCTTTATTTCCCACTACATACCGGTGCACTTTGGGATGATCCAATGACCCCCCACCCCCTGTCAAAAGTGTGGGGGTGGGGTTTATTCTCCACTCCCCCCTCCCCGAATTAATTACGCCCTTGTTTGCCTCAAAAGCCCCAAAAACCAATACTCCAATTTGACAAAGATGTGACCTTTATTTGTTAAAGGCATACAGGACTATATCCGGTTCGTTGGTGGATCTCAACAATCTGAAGGTCGTGTGGAAATCTACAACGACAACGTGTGGAAGGGGCTGTGTTCAGACGACTGGACCATGGCAGAGGCCCAGGTTTCCTGTCGGCAACAAGGCTTGCCACCTCCCCCAGAGGTGGTCCCTGGTGGGACGTTTGGAAGCAGCAAGGCCGGCGATATCCTGCAGGTTTCGCTGGACTGTACCGGGCAGGAGTTTAGTCTGGCAACGTGCCCTCAGATGGCGAGACAGACACCCTGCGCTAGTGGTGATGCTGCAGTTCGGTGTGGTGAACCAATTGAAGGTGAGTTGATACAACCAAGATCCACTGAACTGAAACAAGTTAGGAAGCAAACCAGAAAAGGCCACATTATGATAGTCTGATGCCCAGATCAAAAGCTTCTTAACATTCTGACTGATCTTAAGTCACTTATGTACAGAGGAACTTCGCTATACCGAACACCGCTTTACCGAACATTCGGGTTTACCCAACATCATGCTTGGTTCTCGATTTTTGTGTGCAAAACATGCCGAACATGGTTGTTGAGAAATGTCAACAGATAGAAGAGCGACAGTTGGTTTTATTTCCGCAAGGAATAGAAGGAGAAAACCACCCACTGCTGTAGATAATAGTAAGCTTAAAAAGTCTGTAATTCAATAGTTGGCATGTGTTCAAAGTCGTCTACCAGGGCGTGCAAGGTGAAGTTCTGAAGGGCAGTATTTATTTAAAAGTGATTACTGGAGCACCGGCAGCTTAAAATCAATTTAAGTCGATTTTGATTTGATGCCAATTATTGTTGTCACCTGCAGCTCAGGAATTTGATTTGCGGCTGGTTAATGGCGAAACCTTTGCAGAAAATCGAGTGGAAATACTTCACCAAGGCGAGTGGGGAACCATTTGCCATACGATCTTTGACGGCAAGAACAAGGCATCGGTAGCATGCCATCAACTGGGATTCCTGTATGCAGAGGTGGCAACGAAGTCCTTCGGGCCACAAACGGAGAACATTGTCTTAACCAAGGTGATCTGTAATGGCAACGAAGAGCGGCTTGTTGACTGTTACCATGACGAACTTGGAACATCCACCTGTAGCTACGGTCAAGATTTGGGAGTTGTCTGCTCGAACGTTGAATCGCCAACACCAACTCCTAATCCCACACCAGGTGAGCATGCAATCACAGTACAGGTACTGTACCAAATTGGGACCTTGAGTGCAGATAAACATGAGTAACAAATTCAGGCCAACTTTACTCACTCTTTAGTCGACACAATTATCCAAAATGTTCAGGAGGAAAAGGCAAGGTCCTCAGTATTTCAACAGCCAAGTTTGAAGGCTCAATTCAATTTCTAAGAAGATTTTTCTTCAACATTTTGCACCTGAGAGTGAAACCAAGTGATCTCAATTTGAAGCTGGTATTCGTGGTCCCAGTCTGAGGTACCCACCTTCATTGCACCATTAGTTTGTATTTATTCTTGAAATCATTTGTCAAACCAGATGATGGCGAATTGCGACTTGTTGGCGGTCCGGACCCGTACCAAGGTCGCGTGGAGGTCTACATCGCCGAAGAGGGAAAGTGGGCCACAATCTGCGGAGAAGTCTGGGACTTAACCAGAGCCAACACCATCTGTCACTGGCTAGAGTATCGTCCTCCTACATCGTTTGGCACAGGGCTTAATGGTGGGGCGATGGGTGAAATTGCAAACTGCCCATTACGTTACGACTTATTTATCCCAACTTATTGTGAATTGACAAATACCTGCACTCATGACATGGATGCGTACGTGGTCTGTGATGCCAAAGAAGCAGGTGAGGCAAAGTACAGATGAAGCAACGGAATCGGTATTGGCATTGTTTGTTTTATCACAAATCTTGTACTTAAATGCCATGCAATATTTAGTGGTGTAAATGGAATTACCTACCTTCAGGTGCGTTTCATGGTAAAGGATGTAAAGGGGGCTTCTGCACTGCATGATACTCATTGTACTGTATTGCATTGTACATGTACAATGCAATACAGAGATTTTCGTCACACAGTGCTACCATAAATCTTTATCTTATTGTACTTTGTAGTTGGGTTCCACGTTGTCATTGTTCATTGTAGAATATTGGACAAGAATCAGAAACGTACATTATTACAAGTATCCTCTTTTTGTATCATGAGAGAAACAAGTCACATACAATGTATTTGATCTTTAAATCAGAGTTCTAATCAAAATATCAGCCTTTTGTCGGCGCAACAAACTTGTTGCTTTTACGGCTATGCATCATTCATATGTACGACAATTGAGCGCCACCTCTGTTCTCTTTAAACATCGTTCGCACGCGCATGTACGCTCCCATCCTGCTGCGTGTAGACCAATGTTTGATTCCACCAGCCCTGCTAACAAGGTGACGTTTTGTCACTTTGTGACAACATTTTACGCTTCAAACAAAAAACATGGATATTAGGCTTTTTGTCAAATGTTTATTTACGATAATTAAAAACGTAAACAATATTTCACTTTGGAACTTGGTCAAATTGTTCCTATGCAGACAAATATAAGAAAAGGCTAGTAAAACTCAAAATCAAACTTTATTGATTTTCAAGGTTTTTGTCACTTTGTGAGCAAAGCGACGATGTACAATGTATTTCACTGATCATTTTTCTTGTACCAGTCACAATACATTACAATTTATAAAACCTCACCCACAGATTCTCTATCTTGATTGGCCGAGAGCGAGTCACATGGCATTTGCTATTCTTGCTACCTTGCTGAGCATGCTAACAAGGTGACGTTTTGTCACTTTGTGACAACATTTTACGCTTCAAACAAAAAACATGGATATTAGGCTTTTTGTCAAATGTTTATTTACGATAATTAAAAACGTAAACAATATTTCACTTTGGAACTTGGTCAAATTGTTCCTATGCAGACAAATATAAGAAAAGGCTAGTAAAACTCAAAATCAAACTTTATTGATTTTCAAGGTTTTTGTCACTTTGTGAGCAAAGCGACGATGTACAATGTATTTCACTGATCATTTTTCTTGTACCAGTCACAATACATTACAATTTATAAAACCTCACCCACAGATTCTCTATCTTGATTGGCCGAGAGCGAGTCACATGGCATTTGCTATTCTTGCTACCTTGCTGAGCATGATGAAAAGTATAATACCCATAGCAACCAAAGTACTATACCCATAGCAACCAAGTACTATACGATGAGAACCGGTGTTGTGTGCAAAAGCATTACGGGTGTGCTCGTTGCGCATATTAGTCCTGAGCGCGCGCTGGCGCTACAGAGCTGGGTTCAAACATTTCGTGAAGGGGTAGTTTTGGAAAAATGCAAGTAACCTTTCACCTATTTTCGCATTCAATTTGAAGTACAATTTAATTGAATTGATATTGAATTAATCAGTCATCACCTAAAGACAAGCGAAATATATTGGCTGCTTTATCTCGTGGTGTAGTCAAACTAGCCTCCCGAGGTGATCCATGAAGCAATCTATTTTTTCCGAGGCGAACACCACTCGAAGCAGTCAATATTTGTACACTATGTGTTTTTTTTAACATAAGTTTCCCATCCACAAGGTATCGAGGGCCAGCCTAGACTTGTCAATGGCTCTGAGCGCACCGAAGGACGTGTTGAAATCTATGACCAGAACGCCTGGAGGACCTTATGTGCCGATGATCTGACACTCATTGGGCAGCAGATCGTGTGCCGCCAGCTAAGCTTACCCTTCCCCTCTGTGGAGACCACGGGGGGACTGTTTGGTGAGAGTCCAAGCTATGAGATGGTGGAAGATGTCATCAACTGTGTATCAAGAGAGACCATAGCTATTTCGTTGTGCGATCGGACGCCCAGACAAACCCCTTGCATTGGTGGCGCCGCTGCAGTTCAGTGTGGTATTTGGAATAACGGTGAGTACTGTATATCCCTAATTGCCACACATAATATCCAAGTGCTTTTCATAGTTTAGTGAATAGTGAATACTTTGTTGTGAGTACTTTGTCGTGAGTACGAGTACTTGGTCATGAGCACAAATACGAGTACAAGTATTAGACAGTTTTTCCATGAGTATGAGTACGAGTAGCAATAAATATCCTCAAGTACGAGTACATTATTATAATGAGTCAGTAGGAGCAAACTTAGATGTGTCATGCGTTTTTGAGAGTTTTTGGCTGTCAAATTAGACATTAAACAACTTGCAGAAAACCTCCCAAACAGTAGGAAACTGGTTCTTTTCCTGCATGTAGCTCTTAAACAATTTTAAATCCTTGCAGGAGAACATTTGCAAGAGCATGAGTAATTTGTCATGAGTATGAGTACGGGTACATTTTCATGAGTACGAGTACCAAAAATGTGCTCAAATACGAATACAGGCAACAGTCCTAAAGCACTGTATGAACTGTTTAGGTTATACTTTTTTTGCCTAACCCTGAACATGTACGTGACATCTGTGAAAACGGTTGGCATTGTGAATGTTAAGATTTGGAGAAAACAAGCATTCAGCCTATTGTTTGTGTCTGAACCATTTCAAAAAAACATTTACAATATTTGATGTAGTTGTTCTTGAAATAAAGAACGTGTACACATACAAACCAGCCTAGAAAGTGCTTATTACATTGTATGTGTCACAAAAACAAAAAGGCACGACATGTATACATGTATGTAAGTGAATGGTTTGCATGTCAGGTCGCATCGCATATCTTAAGCCATATTATAGTACATTTTCCCTTTTACTATTTTTTTAAAGACTATATTTATAAAAAATCTTCTCTGTCTTTGTTAAAAACTTGAGATCACATCGACTCGAACAACTAGATATAATTTATGAATCTAGATGATTATGCTCTCGTATCATACCAGTTTGTGGGTTTTTTTCTACGATTGTTCGAATAACTAGTTATAATTTATGAATCTAGATATATGCCCTCGTCTCATACCAGTTACTGTTTTTCTAGGTTGTGTCTTTGTGTGTCTCACTGTTTTCCATTTTGTCCTTGTCCATTTTGTCACTGTCTCTGTTTTTCTCGGTCATGTCCACTTGTCTGTCGATAGGTTAGGGTACAAAAGCGTGACGCTTCACCTAAATGTTGTCGTAAAATTGTTTTAGTATTGATCCATGTACATTATTATACACAATTACATAATTCATGGCATTTTGCTCTGTATAATATGTTTACACGGCATTGTAACATTTTATTGTGTGGAAATGGCAACATTGAAATAAATGTTTCTACTACTACTACTCTACTACTAAATCTGTGCAGCGACTGAAGGAGACCTGCGACTCAGTGGTGGTGATGATGCCACGCAGGGACGCGTCGAGATTTACCACAGTGACCAGTGGGGCACAATCTGCGCTGATCACTGGGATGCTAATGATGCTGAGGTCGTTTGCCACCATTTGGGCTTCCGGAACCAAGTTTATTTCTATAATTCTGCAGCTTCCCGGGCTGGAGGCACGCCAGTGTGGCTGAAGGACTTGATGTGCCAGGGGAAAGAGGAACGTATCTCGGAATGTCGTGCGATGCTTGGGGAACCAGTTGATTGCACTTTGAGTTCCCTGGCTGGTGTCCGGTGTGTGAATTCCCCTTTTACCAACTGTAAGTTGCATTTTTTTTCCAAATGTTCTTAGTTACCCAAATTGGAAAGAATTGAAGCTGTGGTTTAAATCTTTTAGCAGTTTGGTTCTTTTAGTGTAATGTCATGGTCTCCTAGATCTTGCATTGAAGTTGCGTGTGTTTGTCTTACTACAGTGTGGAAGTCGATGTCCATCTTGTTTGTACATTGTGCAGCCTATGGCCAGGCTTTGTGCTCAATCTATTGGCAATAAGTGCTCTTTACTGTACAGCAAAGCTTGGCAGAATTGATTTGAAAACCCCCAAACTATTTGAGTTGGCCAAGAAAGTGCCATAAGTTTCCTAATACGACATCTGTAATTTTACTTCAGAATTGATGCGTTGTTATAGATAATTTTTGGTGCAAAATCTCTTGTGCTTGTTCAGTATTTCTCTACACTTAAAAAAAAAAAATTACTTGAATACAAGAATGTCAATTTCGAAGTGTTTTCGTCTTCAGCAACTTAAATGGAAGAATTTATGGAAAGAGTAGCCAGCTTGTGGCTCATTTTGACCGAGAAAGTCACATATTACTCACAGTCATGCCAATCTCTCCTGCATACAATTATGTCCCCCAAAAAGTGTCGTCTATTTTTGAAAGAACTACAAAACCACGAAGTAAATTTTAAATATGTTTAATTGTGCACACTCCTTATCCTTGGTCTTCATGTAAATACCCACAAGTTTCATTTAATTGGTTGGGGATTGGAATCATGCCTGGCTATCAGTCACCATGGCAAGACCTCAGTTTAATGCTCAAGGGCAAATGATTCCATTTCCCAACAGCATCAGCCTTTTAATCACAACACAAAGGAGTTTACATAGCACATCTGAAATTGATTAAGGCAAGGACTTGGGTCACAGTGTGCAAAATGTTGCGATGATCAATTGACCAATGTGCAGTGAGGCGTGAGGGAAGTTAAATGAAGCTCATAGGGGTTTAGGCCAAGGATAAGGAATATCTGCACAATTACTTGATTTTCAAGTTATTTCAAAAATAGTTAGATGGACACTCATTTTGTGACATACCGTAAGTTCGGTCTTTATTATCTCAGATTATGAAGCACGCCTCGTTGGACCATACCCTAACCAGGGCCGTTTGGAACTACTGTACGAAGGTGCTTGGTGGACTGTCTGTGATAATGACTGGGACACAAAGGATGCAGAAGTAGTGTGTAGGCAGCTGGGCTTTGCCTCAGCTGTGGTGGCTTTGGTTGGCTATGAAACGGCTAGTACGTATGGGTCAGGAGAGGGAGGGATCCTCTTGTACAAGTTGGGCTGCAACGGCACAGAGGAGAGCATCATCAAATGTCCACTGTCATACCCATTTGCTGGTTCATGTCGACACAGAGAAGATGTCGGTGTTGTCTGCTTCAGCGAGGACTACCCAAGTGATGACCCACGGCTAAAGCCTGAGGATACTGGTAAGATTCGCACACCCAGTCTGTAAGACTTACAAGTTGTATTCATGATTTGTCGGTGATTGGTTGGCTTGGGTTGGGTCAGGTTAGGTTGGGATTAGAAAGGTCTGGTTCATTGGTTGGATTTGGGTTGGGTTTCTTTGGGTTTAGTTTCTTTGGGTTGAATTGGGTTGGGTTGGGCCATGTTTGGTTTGGCTTGGCTTGGTTAGGTTGGGCTTTGGGCTGGTTGGGTTGGGTTTGGTAGGGTTGGGTTGGTTTGGCTTGGCTGAGCTTGATTGGACTGGATAGGTTGGGGTGTGTTGGTTTGGGTTGAGTTGAGTTGGGTAGGGTTGGGTTTAACCCAGTGTTGGGTGGTATGTCTTTCTTTAACCCTAACTGCTCAATGCAGAAAGACAAACAGATCTACACAGCTATTGAACCTCGTTGCATTGAGCAGGTCAATAATGATAAGAGCTACCATTTCTGAGACGGTGACAAGTCCCATAGAGAAGTGTCACTATTATAACCCTGTCACGTCGCTTTGGTTCGTGTCTCTTCCTACAGGTTTATCAAGCGAGCAGATCCGTAATATTGTCCTTGGTTGCCTGTTGGGTGCCTCAGTGTTTTTCACAGTCTTGGGAGCTATCTTGAAAGCCAATAAAAAAAGATCACCAGAGGGTGCAGATGCATTTACCAGCCCAGCAGCGGGATCGGACACCGGAGATGTAGCCCTCACAGGTGTTGGCCAAAATGAGGTAAATGTATAGGCCATGAAAAATAACTCCCTATAATCAAGTGTTCCTGACCATAAGTATTTTTGTACTATCACAATGAAACAGAAATATCTGTTTCCAAAAAAATCCACGTGACCTGGGGCCAATTTCAGAGAGCTGCTTAAGCACAAACTTTGTTTAAGCACAAAAAAACCTTGCTTAATATAATGGGGATACCGGCCAAAACATCATGCGAAGTACATTGCTTGTGACTGGCGTTTAGCTGTTGTTTACTTGGCATAACAATCGCATGGAGTTTTAGTGGGTATTCCTGATTATATAAAGCAACGTTTTTTTATGCTTAAGCAAATTTTGTGTTTAAGCAGCTCTATGAAATTGGCCCCTGGACTCATGTCACGCACTATGAAAGTAAAAGTCTCCTCCTGAATAGAAAACCTGTTCTAACCATGGATATGTCAAAAGCATAATTTTCTACTAGTTGTATCATTCAATATTGGGTTTTGTCCTTCATCGACATATTTTATAGACACTGTCTACTCAGTGTTGTCACGAGTGATTGTGAGAAGAAAAAAAATCACTCGGGTGGGACTCGAACCCAAGACCATCTTATGAATAGTTTGGTTGCGGTACCTGCTGCTACATCAGATTAGAACCAGTCAGCAGACCCAGTCAAGCTTGGTGGTCAAGTGGTAAGACGTCAGCAATAGTAAGCAGGAGGTCAGAGGTTCAAGTCCCACCCGAGTGATTTTTTTTCTCACAATCACTTTGGACAACACCAATTATAAAGTGTTTATAAAATATGTCAGTGAAGGGCAAAACCCCATATTGAATTTACATCACCCGGACGCAAATTCCATCTTATGAAAAGTTACATCATTATTACCCCTACTTATATTGGGCCCATGTAATATTCCAAAGACCAACTCAGCTCCCTGGAGCTTGACGCTGCCATTTTGCACAAAGCACTTAAAATCAATCACAGACACCCTCTCTGCCCTCGCATATAATATGGGAATAAATGTGTGCTCGAGAGGTTTTTATCACTCTGTTTAAGACCACTTAGAGTCTGGGTGCTGATAATTACCCGAGCCGGAGGCGAGGGTAATTATCAGCACCCAGACTCTAAGCGGTCTTAAACAGAGTGATAAATACCGACCGAGCACATATTTATTCCCATTCATAAATACCTTTTCGGTTAAAAAATATCAAATAATTCGTTCAAAAAATCCAAATTTTGTTCAACAAGTTCACTTCATGCTTTTTGAAACATCCCTCTGGCAAAATAATGGAGTGTTCAGCTGGCGAGTAAGAAGTAAACAACCCTTTTATTGCGATTGACGCGCGCGTGGCATGTTCTGCGCGATGTCGCGCAGAACGCACCTGGGGCGTTGCGTTTGGAATTTTGAACTATAAAATTCTGTCCTACTGGTAGTGTTGCGCATGCCTACGTGAGGATTGTGAACGTTCAACCAATGAAACGGTAAGAGGCACTGGATTTTTAGGAGTCCACATTTTATTGTGACACTGGAAAAGTGTTTAAGACCAGCTAGCCATGTCTTTATCATCCGTTTAAGACCGGCCACATGACGGGCTCTCGACCAATAGGAATAGCTAAACTGTCTGGGGTATTTATGAATGCCCATTCACTCCTGGGTGGGGAGAAGCAATTAGTCATAAATTGTCTTGCCCAAGGACACACGCAAACCCCAGGCTGGACTGAAAACCTGTACAATCTGCAGAATTATCAACAGATCTTAAATTTGTTGCCTCGGACAACAAGACCACGGCACTCTAAATGACTCGATCATTAAACATATCAGAGTACCAACCTATGTAATTCAGTGTGTGTGTGTGTGTGTGCCCGCTTTACGTGTTCTTGGAGCTAATTTCACGGAACTCGTCTCATCATGCGAATTACATTTATAGCCCCGCTCTAAGATCGATCTTAGCTGCGACGCATCCTAAGACCGATTTCACTAAACTCATCCTAAGCAAGAGGCATAAAAACTACCAATTTGATGGCCATTTCAAGTTGTTTTTACCGCTTGACAAAACAGTCGTTGAAAAGAAATGAATGCTAATGAAGTTTGGACGTGTTGAACTCATCTTTAGTTTGGTGAAATTGATCCTAGGACGATTTGCGACTTAAGATGAGTTACCCTTCCTAAGACTTGTCTTAGCGTTTCGTAAAATTGGCCCTTAGAAAAGCATATTCATCAGTTAACACCCTTCTGCAGTGGAGTAATCTTGTCCGTTTTTTTATCATTGTTTTTAGGATGCCCCAATGTCATATGAGAACGCTATCAATGAACCAGGCAAGGTTGATCCAGCGATGGGTACGGAGTCAACAGCAGAACCTTCTGCCCTACCACCTAGATACGAGACCCTGGATGGAGCAGATGGGAATGCAGCTAACTGTTAGACAGTTGTGTCTTAACAACCACCCATCTCAGACCAAGAGATTTCCCCTGACAGTTGACCCAAGTGGTAAATATAGCTTTCGTAGATTGGTAACGGACAAATATCAAATACTGTAGCAAAAACATAATCAGTCTCTCTCTAGAGGAGTAGAGGGATATAAATTTGGTAACGCACGTTACAGTAACTCGTGTTACAGTTTGTCTGCCCACCTTTGGTACAAGTTAAAATAAGCTAACAATCAAACAAAATACTCATTTCGCATAAAATGTGAACCTTTCAGTCTGCCTTTAAAGTAAAAACTTGCAGTAACACTTGCATTGTGCATGTAAAAAACAATGTGCCAAAACGACTGCCTAAAATCTATAATTGTAGCCAAAACAAGTAATTTTTGTACAAAAAAGTAACTATTTTATCTCAGTGCCACATCACTCAAATGAAAGGTCTTGTTGCCTTTTATTTTCACACCACATTTGAAGTTGTGATGCTTTCAGTTTTGAAGATTTAATAACTTCCATTAATTTTTTCAGCCTTTTTCACATTCTCGTGGAGTTGTCCATTGCTAGAAGGAAGAGCAATGTAGAAAGAAAAAAAAATCTATGTTACAGGGTGAAACTCGTATACGCAAAGCAGATAGTTGAATTTATACTTATCTGCGTATCTAGTTTTTCTGCCCATGAGGCAGTTTTGCTTTTTTACGTCCGCCAAGGAGGTTATGATTTCACCAGCGTTTGTTTGTGTGTTGGTTGGTTGGTTGGTTGGTTAGTGTGTTTGTCTGTGAACAGGAAAACTCAAAAAGTTCTGGACGGATTTTCATGAAATTTTTTTAGGGGCGGTCCTTGGTACAAGTACAAATTGATTAGATTTTGGAAGTGATCCGGATCTGCATGTGGGAATGCAGGATGCAGGTTTTTCTTAAAGGATTTTTCACCCATCATATGCAAAACTTTCACCAGATCGCTCTGTGAGACCAGCTTCGTGTGCATGGCACTGACCCAGTCCAGTCATGTGGTTGCTAAGGCAAAGCGTCTGCCATTGTATTTAATAGCCAAACTGCCTCACATACCTATTGCATTCATATTTTAGCTGAGAAATTCCACACTATTGTGGATACATTTATATCAATTTTGTTAAACTAGAACTTAACTTGGTGGATGTATATGAATTTTAAAGTGGTATATATATATTTTATCAATATTTAATATATATTTAATCAAAAACACAACTATTCTAGTGTGTGTACTGTTTTCTATTCAAGAGGCTTATATATTTGTCAATTCCACTGCCTTCTGCCTGTAATTTAATGTAATACTTTTTTGCAAAGATGTAATGTAATAAGTGTGCCTTTCTCACTGCTTTTGCACCAATTTAAATGAGAAATGTAGCAACTCAGAGGAATGTGTTGTTAAACCATTCATCTCACTGAGAATTTCAAGTATGATGATCTTTCATTCCCATAATGATTATGAGTTTGTAAAAATTGAATGGCTGTGTTAATTTTCGTTCTCTTCTGGGAACATTAATTTCCTGACGGCATTACATGTATATTATATTTGTAGCTGGTTGTTTTCCTATGTTTTGTATCTTGATAAAAGGGTATCAAGCGATGGTGATTTGTTTTCTGGTAAGCTGCCCATATAGGGTAACAGTAACATATAATATTATAACGCCCAAGTTTCAGCTTGATAGAATTATGTTTAAGTTAACCCTCCTGCGATTTGAACAGTCACAAACAGTCATAAATCAATCCTCATTCCCTGCCATGCCCTTTACACAGGCTAGTCATGAACATTCAGATCATATTGTGAGCGAGCTCTGTGACTAGTCAAATTCAGTCAATGGACAAAAGTAGGCAAGAAGTTGGCACAGCTGGCTTAGCAATCACCTACAGTCAATACCACATAGCTGTATCAAGCTACATAAACAGTCAGAGCCAGTCAATCCTGCGTTATGTAGGCTTGGAGCTCTTTAAGTGTTTAAATTGATTTTGAGTGAAAGGACAACTTTGCACAGAATGTATGTTTGCATCCAGGAGGGTTAATTAGAGAAAGGCTTTTTCTTGACGATGACTAGAACTTGTATTGTATCCACAGTTTTATGTTTGCGGATAATTATCTATACCGCCTAGGGTCATGGTGTCACTCATTGCTTCTCTCCACCCAGGAGTAAATGGGTACCTGTGAGGGCAGAGATGGTTATTGTGATTGACTTAGCTTCCTTGTGCCTAACAGGCTGCATCGAGCTGTATACTCCCCACCCCAGGGAGCTGAGATGGTATTTAGAATGTTTTATGGGCCCAATGAGCAGGGGTAATAATGATGTAGCGCCTTGAGCACCAGTCGTGGTGGATATTTGCAGTTTATAAATACCCACTATTATTATTACTTAATATGTAGTACATACACTTACATGTACATACATTTACATCTACATACATGTTGGACAAATAAGCTTTGACAAAAGCTACTGGTTTCCTGAAAAGACACTCCGTATCTGAAATAGGAATGATCTCTTGCCGAACCCTTTATGCCAAGTGACAGTAATATTGTGAAAACAATTGCACATTCAGTCAAATAGACCATTTATATAAATCTATTTAATACAATGTATTCGTCTATTTTTGTTTTACCATTCATGTGATATATTTAAAAAGTAGGTTATAAATGGGATATATTTTTTAATAAGGCATTATTATCTGTAAATTTGGCACTGAACATTTCCCGCTATTTTTACTATTTTAAAAGATGTAGACAACTGAAATAAGGTTTTGGACAACATTTTTAATAAGGCTTGTATATAATTGTTATGTTTCGGCGAAACTTTTTGTAATTTGCTTGTACAATGCAGCTGTAATAGTCACTTGTAGTCATCACATATAAAGATCAATGCCCCGAAGCACTGAATCAAGATACACCAAAGTAAGTGGTGGGGTTCTTCAAGGAAAATATGTTTAATTAAAATTCGTCGATTGAAAGCCAGGAGGAGTTTGTTACACCCCCCACCCGCAACCAATCCCCTTGGATCTTCCCTAGTGATCGTACATGTTTGTATTTGCTGTGCATGTTAGTGAAACAAGTGCATGTACATACCCATTCAATTGAAATGTGATTTATATGGTTTCCAGATTATCTGAAATATTGAAGTACTTTTTACCAGACTCTCGTGCCATGTGTACATCGTATGCAAATAAAATAGCTGATTTACTTTCATGTATAAAATTCCATTCTTTGAATACACGTATTTAAATAAGGTTCCCAAGGTCAGTCAAGTCACTGTGTTTGTCCGTTTGATGATGTAAACCGTCTTTGCTTTAAAGCATTTTTAATACATGTATGAATATTTTAACATTGTACATGAATGCTTTGTCTAAAGTGCACGGTTATATATTATAATCTTGGGTTTTTTGTATCATTGTATGGAAAATGATTTTGTACCAGCATTTCATGCTGCACATACATTGAATGTACTAATAGAAAGAGAACATTAACTTTGTACCGGCATAGTATTTGCTGATAGAATGGATCATGTGTAATATGCTTGTTGGTGAGAATTTTTAAATGTGTCTGACAACTTTTGAAAGGTTTCCAAGTAAAATGCATGTATTCCCAACATATTTATAATATCAATTTAGCACTGATGTTATGTTACAGTGATATTATATTTTCTCTGATGTTACATTGATTCTGCTCCTTTATTAGATTTGCTGCATGAGGATGAATTAAAATTGAAATCTTAAATAAAAAGCCACTGCAAACTTCTTTCTGAAATCTATAAATCGTGTGTTGAGGGCCCAATGTTTCGACTAAATGGCAACGTCTTTCTCCAACACAGAAAACATAAAGTTAGTCATTTCACTCATTATCGTAAAAATTGAGTCATTTCGTCCATGAAGTGGCACACTTGGAGCCATATTGTGTCACTACACGGACAAAATGAGTAGGCCATATTGTTTTTTTACGATAATGAGTCAAGTGACTCACTTTGAGTTTTCTGTGAAGGCAAAAACCGTATCAAATCAGTATTTAGAGGGAACACAAGAATGGATGGGGTCCGCTCATAAGTCCGACGCCTCATAGGTCCGTCGCATCATAAGTCCGACAAAATCCCCTAACCAAATAAAGGCCCATAAGCGGAGGGCGCGCCACATAAATAGTAGTCTCGATAATTATCCACCACCAAACTCGTTTTGGGGGCAACAACTCCAGAAATACAAGATGTTTTAAATTGAATGTTCGTATTGTGATTTGTCATTATGCTTACCATTACAAGATTTAATTTCATAAGAAACCGTCAAACAATGAAGCAATATTGACCGTAACAACACAGTGTTTTAAGCGCTACAAGTGCAATCGGAATGAAAATCAATGTGAATTTTCGCGTGTAAAACACATTGTTACGATCATATTATTTTTAGTATTGGACTGTTTCTCATGATATTCAATACCCCTCTGTTACACATCGTGGAGGTAAATTGCACGAAATTTCAGTTTAATACATGTTGTATTTCTTGAGTTATTAATCGGAAACTGAGTTGTTATTTTTGTTCAATAGTGCAGCATCCGCACCAATATTCTTTTATTTAATAGAGGGCGCGCCACATAAATAGTAGTCTCGATAAATAATCCACCACCAAACTGGTTTGGGGGGAAACAAGTGCAGAAATACAAGATGTTTTAAATTGAATTTTCGTCTAGTGATTTGTCATTGTGTTTAAACATTACGAGATTCAATTTCATAAGAAACCGTCAAACAATGAAGCAATGTTGACCGTAACAATACATTGTTTTAAGCGCGACAAATGCAATCCGAATGAAAGTCAATGTTTATTTTTCGCGCGTAAAACACTACATTGTTACGATCATATTATTTTTAGCGTTGGACTGTTTCTCTTGATATTCAATACCCCTCAGCTACAAGTGCAATCGGAATGAAAATCAATGTGAATTTTTCGCGTGTAAAACACTACATTGTTACGATCATATTATTTTTGTTATTGGACTGTTTCTCGTGATATTCAATACCCCTCTGTTACACATCGTGGAGGTAAATTGCACGAAATTTCAGTTTAATACATGTTGTATTTCTTGAGTTATTAATCGGAAACTGAGTTGTTATTTTTGTTCAATAGTGCAGCATCCGCACCACTTTTCTTTTATTTAATACAGGGCGCGCCACATAAATAGTAGTCTCGATAATTATCCACCACCAAACTCGTTTGGGGGGGCAACAACTCCAGAAATACAAGATGTTTTAATCGGGTCATCGTACTCGCGTAACGATGTTGCTGACTGGCTGAACGTATGACCTCAACATCCAAGTCCGCGAAATTCGAACAGACAAATGATCGACAATTTTCGTGTTTTTTTACGGCTTACTGAGCAATTTTTATCGTTGGGGATAATCAATTTTAAAATATATATCATCATTTTACAAATTTTCAGCTATGAATTAAGTTGTCCCCAGCTTTGTTGCACGAAACAACAGCTTAAAATGGGATGTATAGCGGCCTAAAAGTAATTATGTTGATTATACTTTGAATGGATTTAATTTTTCAGTGGGATAAGTTCAACTTCAAAAGTAAATCGTCAAAATTTGACCCTATCATATTGAAAAGGTTTGGACATTATTTTGTTCGTCACAAAACTGTGTGTACACGCTCAGTACGTGTGCGCATACTACGGTGGCCCACAACTG